TATGATCCAAGACAGCTCTTCACGCTCTTCTCGTGTAAGTACATTGCTGTAGACCTGCAACAACAATGGAACCAGTTCCATAGCATCATCCGGCGCAGTCTCCAGGCAAGCAGTGATATTAGATGTAGTGGGTTGCCGTTTGACGATCTCGAACATCAAGTCTGCCCATAGAAACCTGCCTGAGGCCTTGGATAGAACGTTCTCTCCGATGGAGATTGGCCTTGTTTCATCGGCTAGCAACGGAAGGCGATGTACGTCACAGTATGTGATCCAGTTCTGTGGGTCTTGTTCCTCGGTTTGGATAGTGTTCGAAGGCAAGTCCATAGGGGAAGAGTGGCTCATGATTGATGATATGGTGTAAGGCGATGAGACGTTATATTGGTGTAGATAGGTAGATTGGTTGCGTATACTGGAAATTGTACAAGATGTTGCTTATTTGCGTGTTGGGTGTATGTATGCGATGTGTTGTAGAGAGCTCCTTATTCCGCGGCGCAAGGGTGCTTATATAGACAGGTAAGCTTGAGGATATTCAATGTCTAGAATGTCAGCTGCACCTTCGTAACGCGTACATATTTCAAATAAAAGACCGTGAGCAGCGAGCTTTGATCGGGGAATGGAATCGGAAAACGCTCAAAAGAGTACTGCGGTATCCATGGAAGAGACATATGAAGCACTATGCAAACACAGATAACTTGTCCTTGAAGCTTGCAGCAGCGATCGCGGAGTTCGACAGAAGCTATGAATTTGCAGATTTCGTATAGATACCGTTTGATTAGCTCCTCAATCCAGAAGGCCGCTTGGGTAATGATGAACTGTGACAGTGACAACGACCTCTCTGCTGGGCGTTTGAACGGCAGATGTGAGCCGAGTGCGTCCTGGCGCGCTCGGTGAAGAGACAACGCTTTCAGGTTAGCCGGAGAGCTAACGATGACCTCCATACGAATCTTTAGGGGAGTCATCTCGTGTCAGTCGCACTCAAGCTACCTAGACAGTGGTGGATACAATGAGAAAAGTCATCAATCGTGACGTGGAGATGTGTGCAGGTAACCGAGGCGGGCCATGCGATCACTTCAATGTTTCGTGTGGCGTTATCGGGCTCTACACTAAACTACATATGGAAAGCGCAGTCGCCGATAACGAACCTAGGATCTCGAAAAACTGGGGAGGGCGGGTCATGGCAAACAGAGATCTCGGTACCAGCGCCCGTCTTGTGGATGGCGAGATTGAGATTGGTAGTGGAGCTCCGCGGTGATATTGGAGAGTGGAGAGGAGTTTGCAGCAAGCGTGCCAGAAAATGACGGTGCAGCTCCTCCTCCTGCGTAACCCTCAGCCTCAAGCGGAGCCACTGGTCTAGGCACTGCGTAGTGCATCTCTGTTGGTATCCGTCCACGGGTGCATTTGCCGCCGCTTATGTTCTACAATCGCATCGCGACGGAACGGCGAACCTATCAGACTCTAATCAGCTGAGCTGTTAGTGCATCTTGTTAGTCGCTGTCCAAGATTTATCGCTACACGGCCATGCCGAAGGAACAAAACCATGCAAGAACAGGGTCAGGCAAAGTCGCGCGACAGGGCTACTGGCTATGCCGTCATCAGTCGGTGGCACCCAATGAGATCGGATCAGCTAAACCTCTGCCGTCTTGGACATGAGGGCCGTTGAACGGACGAGGCTTGGATCAGCACTTAGATCGTAGCGCCTTCATCGCTTAGATCCGTTTCGCCAGTAGTCGACGGTAGCGTGAAAGAGCTACTCGTTCCCCGCGTACGTATAACATACCTTGTCCCACGGTACCGACCCTGTAAACTGCCATTACCACGCGGCGACTCACTCTCACCCAGTCTACGCGCAGTCACCTGACAATACCCTGCCCTTGACAGTAGCTTGCCCTGCCGCCGTCAAGATGGATGTCAAGCAGCCGGAGCGCAGCCCTGCGCACCTCAGCGACGAGGAGAAGATACCCGTCGAGCACCCCGAAAATGCGCGCGCTAAAGTCGAAATCCCCATCTATAACGACGTAGAACGCGTCGACCAAACCGACTTGTCTTTCGCTGCAATTCTTAAAGGCACAGCCGCAAACCCGCTCAACACCTTTGAGAAGAAGGCCGCCCTCATCAATGTCGAGCTCGATAAATTTGGAATGGGCAGATACCAGATATGCATCTGGTTCCTCTGTGGCTTTGGATACTTCCTTGATCTCGCCTGGTCACAAGGTGTTGGTTTAATTGCTTCTGCCATCTACCAAGAGGTGAGTTAGGCCAGACAAAGCGGGTACCCTGTACTAAAGCGTTTGCAGATGGGAGTTTCGGACGAACACACTGGAGATATATTTGCGATCGCCAACGCAGGACTTGCTGTCGGTGCGCTCGGCTTTGGTCTTGCTGTGGATATCATCGGACGCAAGTGGGCTTTCAACTTGACTTGTCTCATTACCTCCGTATTCGGACTCTTGCTGGTATGTTCATGAAGCCGTAGATTTGATTACCGGTAATTAATAATATGCCAGGCCGCACCCAAGTACAACTACCCTGCGATATGCGCCATCTACTTCCTCGCGTCATTGGGCCTCGGAGGTAACATACCTATCGATGCGACCATCGCGCTCGAGTTCCTACCTCATAACCGTCGCTTCCTTGTCGCGCTTCTTTCCATGTGGCAGCCCATCGGTGTCGCCATTGCCTCTTGCATTGCCTACGGCACCACCGGCCAAGCTAAATGGCGCTGCGATCCCGAAGCGCCGGCTTGTCCAGACGTCGAGCCTGGAGTTGCTTGCTGTACCGTTGACAGTAACATGGGATGGCGTTACACTGTCATAGTGCTTGGCTGTATGACCTTGGCCGTCTTTTTCCTTCGGTACTTCGTCTTCACTTTCCATGAGTCCCCAAAGTTCCTGCTTGCGCGAGGAAAAGAGCAGGAGGCCCTTAACGTCCTTCACAGGATTGCGAAATTCAACAAGCAGCCAGCTCCAACGTTGACTATGGAGATGTTTGCCGCCATAGATGAAGTGTCGTCCAATGCCACGTCAAGCGCACGACTTTCCACTGAGGTACCTCGAACTACTCAGGCTACTCAGGCTACCCCCGAGAAAGGCAATGGGCTTCAGCGCCTCAAGGGCATTTTCACCAAAAAGCGGAATGCCACATCGAGCGCACGAGACTCCCCTCGAAGTACCAAGGATACCACCAAGAAAGTCATCAAAGGATTCGGCAAGGAGCTTACGCGCCTCAAGGGCATTTTCACCAACAAGCTGACCGCTTTCACTTTCGTCTTGCTTGCGCTGGCATACATGGTAAGCAGCTTGACTTTCCATCATTATGTTGCCTACTAACAAAGACAGGGAGACTACTGGTCCTTTAACCTGGCGGGTACCTTCCTCCCGCTTATCCTGCTACGCAACAACGTCGATGAGGGCCGAGGAACTGTTAGCGACACCTATGAGCAGTACTTGATTATCTATTTCCCAGGTATCATAGGTGCCATTTTGGCTCTTGCGTCCATTCAGTTGCCACTTGTGGGTCGAAAGTGGTCACTGGTCTTTTCCGCCCTTTGCCAGGGTATCTCCATGGCAATGTATACCCAGGTGTCTTCGACGGCTGCTTATGTGGGTTTGAACGCATTGGAGTACATTATGCAAACCGTAAGTGACGATGTCGGAACTCAACGTTTCCAATACTGACATGTGTTCAGTATTTTAATGCGGTCTTGTACGCGTCTGCTCCGGAGCTGTTCGACACTGTCTACCGTGGTAGCGTAAGTGGCATGCTTTCTTGTCTCGGTCGTATTGCAGGAATTGTCGCACCCTTTGCGGGTGCTCAGCTTCTGGCCGATCAGAGTTCTGGTATCCTCTGGCTAGGCGCTGGTGGTATTTGGCTATCTGCACTATTGATGTGCTTTTTGCCTGTGGAGATGAAGAACAGGCAGATGTTCTAAGGAAGTGGATCAAAAAGATCCCTTAAAAGTCGGCTTTGATACACGCCATCGACCAAAATTTACTGATACCCCATGCATACGCATAATGCAATACAATTCACAAACGCAACACAAGCTCCGAATCAAACTTGCCGCGCTGTACCCACACCGATCGCGTCGAGCTCCGCTAAGCCAGTCGTGTACTAGCGTGGGTTTGATGACGTCTCTTGCGCCCCCAACGCTATGATGCCGTCGGCTTTGCCTATCCGCAACACCACCTTTCGTCTTGTGCTTTGATCCTGCATCATGCAGTTTATTGCTTTTCCTAATCTTGGCGCTCTCAACCCTCCGTGCGGATGAAGATGCACTTTGATGTCTGCTCCGTTCTACTTTACCTAGGTACCTAGGTATCGTTGTTTCGCATGACGGATACCTTCGTTGGCAACAAAGTCGGACTTTCATGCTATAATCTTGCGGCGCACAACCTTGATCATGAATCACGCTAGCTGCAACACCGGGATCTTACAAGCCGGCGCGCTTGCCTCGGAGCACAAGAGCAGCTATCAGCGCGGCAGCAAAACCGCGACATGTCGATCTAGTGCGAGCCAAGAAGACCTTACCAAGGGCGTCTGCAACTTGTATCCCATTTTACAAAAGTGTTCCAGTAAATCATCTTCTAATTGGGAGTATACATCATCTTTAGAACTGTATACTTATTAAGATCTGATAGTATGTATGCAGCACAATGCAAGAAGCACAAGTACAATTCTTATCGACACGTCTAATGGCTGAAATGCTTCCATACTGACATTAGTACTCTTCTTGTGCTAAGCTTCTAGGACCACAAACTATTATTTGGCCAGGCTCTTCTTCGAGCAGTTTGATGCCCGTCATATCGTACTCCCCAGCCCTTGAGTCAAAACGCTCGTACCAAAGATGCGCTAACCTGAACGAGTCAAGTTTAACAACATCACTATCTGTGGCTGCATGGTCTTCGTTTTGGCTCACTAGAAGCTCGTTTCTTAGCATTGAAGTGCCATTTCCAAATCGTGACCCGGTAAATTTTTCAAGACTCCGAAAAGCGTCGATGCGATCACGAGTGTTCCGTCCGGAACTCGGGCGCCTTGGAACCTTTCTGAGCACTAATGGGCATACATGCGGGTAAGGCTTCCGGCAAGTGTGTAGTGTCGCTATGTATGCCAGGACTTCCTCTTCGACAGAATCTGCGAGGCTCGGTTGCAGAGTCAAGTCTTCTTCGGTACTAGGTGCGTCTGGCTTCTCTAGAGACTTGAACGTCCAGCCTACATTTTCGTCCCACCGGACACCGCGGTCTCCGTTGTCCCATTCCGACAAGGCATCTTCTTTCTCGGCCAACTTCTCTACCGTCTCGGGCTCATCTAGTATCAGTCCATCTGGACATTGCTGCAGAAGTCGCCATGGAAGCGCAAAGACCATGTTTGTGCTGAGGCGGTCCCACTGGCCGAATGTAGCGCAGCCTTTCTCGATATCTTTCACAATGACAATGTAGTCCTGGGCTGACATGTTTCGATGGATAATGATAGACAATGTTAACCGGTTGTGCAGATGCGTGATGGTCAAGAGAGCTTCTATGTAATCATGATATAGCTTGGATAGGCCCATGGGGGTTTGCTAGAATGCGGTATGCACGAACAGTGGGGTTTCACTCAGCTTGGAATGATGCCGGTGACGATCGTGCGATACTCTCCGATGTTCTCAACATTGTATCGGCACATCTCATTTGGTGACCTCGAAGACCTGCTACCACGTCTGACTCGTAGTAACCCTGGTATCACTGGCTTTTGCTGTAACGATGAGTTCAATGTCGTAGCCTCGCCATGATAAGGTACCAGGCTTTCCTGGCTCACATTTGCTCGGCTGCACAAGACGTTGCTGCTATATGATACAGTGAGGAAATTGAAAAGATGCACTGCAATCTACATTGATACAAAAAATGTGAGATACTCATATTTAAGCGTGATGTAGACTTCGAGATCCCTCATTTTAATGTCGTTCTCTGCACGAGGCTGATATGTATTCATTTACTTGAACAGGATAGAGCCACCAAAATGTATCGATAAGAGTCGTATTCGTGTTCCCCGTAGATATATGGGGAGTTGTCAAAAAGGTAAAGCTCACGACGGGCATGGAGAGACACCAATCAATTTACTTGGTGTTCCTCATAGAATGCGCCAGTTCTCTCTCAACCAGGATGGGTGAAGCAAGAGTCTTCGTGGCTTCGCAGTCTGTAACGTGAAACCTGAATTGGCTTGGTGAATGTGTGGAAAAGCATTGGCTTCCGAACGCACAAACACTCAGTGTAACCTAAATCTACTAGGCTAAGCTTCTCGTACTCACGGCTTTCTTATAGACGGACAAATCACACCCGCTCGACCTATTTCACAGCCACAGCAACACAACTTCAATTCCACGGACTTATAAGCGCCCGTTCTCACATTGTATCGCCTTAGAACTGTTCAGATCAAAGCTGACCAGATGAACAATTATGCGATGCCAGACCTAGAAGCCCCCACTGCGCCTCCGTCTCCTGAAATTCCAGCCGCCCAAGTCAAAGATCCACCACCTCCACCTAGGCGTCAACCACCACCTGTGCCTAAGAAGGCCATAAAGGCCGATAAGTCCACGTGTGGTATCTGCTATCAACGAGTAGAGCTAAAGCCCAAAGCCAAAGCAAACATCCATTTCAACAAGTGTTGGGATGGTTTGAGAGAAAAGGCGAAGGAAGCTAAGAGTCAGATTGTGAAGAATCCACTAGAGGAAAGGGAGGTTGGAGACAGCGACGAGACCTCGTTGGAGACGCTGCAAGTCGAGAACAGCGAACTAGATGAGAGAGAGGAACCATCCACACCGATACCATCGTTCTCATCAGATCTGGAGAAAACTTACTGTCTTCTTTGCCACAAGGACCTGTGGGGTATGAAAGATCTCGACGCCTTCGACCACCGCTTGATCTGTCTTAAAGCACTCACCCCAGCTTGCTGCCCTGTCTGCGAGGTCTCCTTTCAAGAGATTTCCGAGCCATGCGATGACGTCCTCTCGTGCGAAAGTAGTGGCTGGCCAATTCATACCATAATCTGGCATCTACACGCTTGCCAGAACGACTGCCATACTTGCCCCGAGGCACAGGCCGACTGGACAGCCTTGATTTCTCGGCGGGCTGGTCGTACCGAAGTAGCGCAGAGAGGCTTCTGGAAGAGTATAGGAGAAAGAAAAGATTGGGGTCTGCGCAAACACAGGGACAGCGTGAAGACCAAGAAGAAGTCGGGGTTAGCGCGCGAGGATGGGATATATCGGACAAAGAGCTCGCCGTTGCGTACTTCGCAGATAATTGTTCCTGCGCGTGAGTCACATAGTGAGTCGGAGATGGAGGTAACGAGGGTGGAGAAAGCTGTCGTGGCCGAAAGCATCCCCTTTGATCGGTTCAGAAGGTCCAGCTTCTCCGTAATGAAGCTCCCTCACTCCGCGAAAATGCGCACGGACTACAAGCCTGAGGAAGTGCGAACGGAGGTACTGCCTCTCTTCGATTCGAAGACATTCTGGAAACAACTTTCGTACAAAGCGCAGACTCGTTTGTTACCCAAGCTTGTACCTAAGCCACTCAACGTCACCTCTCCCACCAAGAAGAAACTACCAACAAACCGTGCGCTCGCGGAAAAGTTTCCAATCCCAGTCCCAAACAACAAAGACGAAGCGAAATCGCAGCTTCGATTGCTGAGCAATCCGCCAGAAGCTCTCGCCCCGATGACTTCCGCGGCGAAATCAGACGCGCTTCTTAAAGCACCTCAGCAGTGTTCAACACCCAGGAACAAGGACGAACTCGACGCCTTCCAAAGGAAGCTGTTAGATCTCTTGAAGCCTGTTGCAGATCAAGCAAATGTCACACTTCCCCGGAAAGTGCGACAGTTCCCACAGATCACCCTGACTTGTCCACAAGAAGAACCCGACAGTCCGCCTGCATTGGCTTTATCACAGCCGCAGAGCATCAACAACGCGACTTTCAGCCCCGCTACTGCAGTCCAAATACCTTCCAGCAGCACGTCCTCACCGCCGAACTATAGCTCCTCGACCACAACAACACCTCAACAGAGCTCTCTCGATACAAAGAGACCAGCCCTGCGAACTATTGGATCAAGTGAAAATTGGCGTAACTCGCCTCCCAACGCTCAAGAACGATTCAATAAATTGTTAAGAATGAATACCGCAAGGCCATACTACGGACAATCTCCAAATCCGCGGGCTAAGCCAAGGCCACTTCCCAACGGCACAAGGTCATCTCCGCATCCGTGGCCGGCCAGCTTTGGTGAACGAAGATCCATGGCTGCTGTAACTCTACCAGTACGTGGTAGGCCAGCAGATCCTCTTCCGGAGAGCTCGCTACAGTGGACGTTTTACAACTTCCAAGAACTTGACCGGGAGATGGAGGTCGAGACTTATGTGTATGGTCGGCGTGGCGCCATTCCAGTTGACTTGAAGTCTAATATTCGTACTGTTATCGACCCTGCGCTGTCTGAGGAAGAGCAGATAGCGCGGAACCGAGAGTGCTGTAGAGGCATGTTCGGGAGCTTTGCCGAGACGAGCGAGTAGATAAATAGTGTAGAGTGAAACGAAGTTAGAAGACGTCGAAAAGAGTTGGGGTTCGAGGCGAGAGAGATTTAAGATTGCGCCCGGTCACTGTGCAAAGCACAAGGAATAGAGTGAATCGTGGATACATGCAGAATATAAGGATCCTGACTCGTGTATAGACAGGTGAAACTATGTATAGTTGAAGAATAACGAGCGTTTCATCATAAAATCGTGACAATACTCCTGATAGCGGAGGTGGGAGAAGAAACAGGCGTAGCACACCTATGATGCGACCTTTGAACCCGTAATCTAAACCTTACTCTTCTCATCGCCGACAACAAACACCTCGGTAGGCTCCACTTCGATCTCATCCGACGAAAATGTCCTTGAGCGGCGGAAGACAGCCTCCTCAACTGTATCATATACTATCGTGCCTTTCTTGTTCACGTCAGCCACATCGCGGAGCTTCCACCCGAACCTCGCGAAGCGCTCACGAACACGGTCATTTAGCCCTACGAGTCGGAACTGCGTGTTCTTCCCACCATAGGCTTCGATATCTGCTTTCAGATCTTTTAGATGCGTAAGACCTGTTGTGTCGATATTATGCATGGCATACATGTCCAGCACAACACTCCGGATCTGAACAGGTTCTTCGAGGATCTCGGCTTTTGTGCGGAGACGCAAGGCACGGTCTTTGCCAGCGACACTCCAGTTGCGGTTTGCGTGCGCAGCCTCCAGTGTCGCCACATCACCGGAGTTGAATGTCTGGACCGCGTCGAGGCACTGCGTCTTGATGTGGTAGGCGTTGTAGAACAGCATAGACTGGTGGATACGGAATACTTGGGTATCGAGAGGTGTAGCATGCGTGCCGGGTTGGCGGCCGTGGGAAGCCACTTCGATGGACGTTATGCGGTGAACGCGGTGGAAGGCCATGAAGAGGAGGTGGTAAACGATGTTGAACCCGACAGCCGTGCCGATCCCAACTTCTGAAGAGACAAAGAGGGTGAGCCAGAAGGCTAGCATAGAGGTAGTGAAGTCGACGAGTGAGGTGCGCCAATATCCGTAGAAGACTTTGAGGGGGACTACAATGTGCCATACTGCCGTGACAATAATGGCTGCCAACGTGGCTTTAGGTATCCAGTATAGCGCTGGCGAAAGCTTGAAGATACTGAGGATTACGACACCACCTGCAATCAAACCATAGGCTGGAGATTTGACGCCAGACTCTGAGTTGACGGCAGTTCGCGACATAGCACCGCCGACCGCCATGGAGGAGAAGAAGGAATTGAAGAAGTTGGTGAAGCCAAGATAGACCAGCTCTTGTGCGGCGTCGGTGACGTAGCCATTCTTGCGACCAAAGGCTTTGGCGATAGCTAGATGCTCAAGCGCAGCTGCAATGAATGGTGCAATGCTTCGTGCGAATACCTTGCCGATAAGTGCCGAGTCTGGCATGCGAGGCGTTGCAATCCCATCAGACTTTACCTTGCTGAGTGCCCAGACAGGATCGTCATTCTCAAGGTCAATGTCCTTGTTCACTGCGTACGAGATGCCAGCGAAGAGAATGAGGACTACAGCACTACGACCAAGTGCTAGCAGCCATATGGCCTTGTTCTTCTTGCCCCACCGTTGCCCCATCTTTTGCATGAGATAGAGCAGGAGAAGGCCTCCAAGTCCCACTCCGCATGTCGGACCGTCGTATTGTGGTATTTTAGCGAAAAGGTCGTGAATGATGTTCGCCGTACCGGAGCCGACAGTGATGCCGAATAGCGAGGGGATTTGGCCGAGCATGATGACGATGGCAGCTGCGGAGATGAAGCCGCTCAGAACAGGCACGGAAATAAACTCTAGCAGAAATCCTAGCTTGAGCAAGCCTAGCGTCATGGAGTAGATGCCGACGGACATAGCAACAGCGGAAGCGATAGCTTGTGGTGAGTATCCGTCTTGAGCAACATCTGCGATTATCTCCGCTGTCAAGAGACCCATGAGCGATGTAGGACCAGTAGACAGGTCTGTGCGAGTCTTAGTAAAAAAGGTTGCAATGAGTAGCAAGGACTTACCCTTAGATGTACCCATGATCAGGTACAGAAAGTTAGGCAGCCAACTCGACATGAGTCCATACTGTCCGGGGATTGTCGCAATCTTCGCGTACGCCAGAGACTGAGGGATGAGCAGAACGCCAACAGTGATACCGGCTAATGTGTCGTTCAGTAGCCATCGCGGATTGTACTTCGGCAGCCATTGAATGATGGGCGCCTTCTGAAGTAGATATTGGCCTGCCACTGAAGGTGCTGCGCGGACAGCTTTCGTGCCATACCGTATCGTCCGCTGGAGGGTAGTATCAGTGGCTATCGCTTCTCGGCTTCCTTGAGCCTTCTTCCTGAGATACTCCATAGTGGGTTGGCAGATAACAGGCAAAAACAAAGCGACAAAAGATGATTCAGAGCTAGCACAGTGCCTCGTTGAGCAATGGAAGAGGCTTATTGAGGGTTACCCTAGAGCACAGCATATCAAAGATATACTCCGCACATCCTGGGAATCGGCGTTATCGACCACAAGGTAGCGTCCCGTCGATGAAACTGGGTCTCGAAGCCACAGCGCTGTAATTGAGCCTACTGGGTGGCCGGTCAGCACACCCACTCTCAACCGCTTACCCGCATGGAAACATGCTGGGAACGTCTAGGCGAAATCGCGTCGAGGAACTGCCAATCATGGCAACAAGACGTCAGCATGCCGGTCCCGCGATGTCCAATGAGGAAGTGAACTGCAGCTGCCATGTCTGATACCCTGCTCAAGTCTCGACCTTCCGTCTTGGACACCGAGGTGTGGGCGAGGAGGAGTGGAGATTTCGACGTAGTTGTGATTCGGCCTTCGTTTCGTAACACACCACTGAGGCGCAAAGACGTAGTCACGCTGTCAACACCAGCAGGGGCCGGTAAGATATTAGACAGGCGCTTGTCACACTGCCGATATGCCTAAGCAGAGGCAACCCAGGTTTGAGTTGCAACTAGCATCGCCCTCGGGCCTTACTCAAGCTTTTTGGAGATAACCGGATCGCGTACATTTGACTTAGTGGATTGGCAACGGCGAACTCAAACTGCGTGGTAGAGGACTCTTTGTTGAGGGAGAGAGATGTTTGGACAAAATTACCCCGCAATACACCTCATCAGCACCGAATTAGCTTCCGTCAGCCACCCCGCGCAAGGCTCGTTGAAGCCGCACTAGCGCCTTGAATTAAGCTTTGAGTCAAGCTCCACGAATAGACGGCCAAGCATCCTTGTCGAGTATCTCCCGGACGGAGCGTGTGCCGTGTCAGTGCAGCCGACGATCGAAGGCACGACGAAACGTTCGTTTACAACGACGACGATCACACCAGGCCCAGTCTACATAATTCGGTAGTTATCATGGTGACCAGAAGTATGAGACGATTCGTGCATCTCGCAGATGGCATGATATGTGTTGTCGGGGTTTGGGTATGACTAGCAAATGTTACCCCTCAACCGATGGCGGCACAATTTGAACATACTGGAATACGCTGCTTTGCCTAGGCGTTCCTTTGGTGCGCAACGCCAACGCGCCTCAGTGGCGCGCGTGGTTTGTCATCCTCGCGATATGAAAACATGGAGCACTAGTCGGACGTGGCAACGATTTGACAATGGCGTTAGCAATGCGTTCGTCGGAAAGACAATCCGTTGTAGTCACATCGAGCATTCGCGTCAAGACCGAGACTCCGGTTTCCGATCTGTAGACAACTCATGAAACTGACACTCGGATAGCCTGATCACGCCAATGCGCTACAGATACAAGTTCAGTACAGCAGACAGCTCTTGCATATCAACAATATTTCAGGAGCCTGCTCTGGGTACGCGCACATCTGCACATACATCCCCGAGCGGGATCAGTTCCCGGAAACGATAGATGCATGCAGTGTGACCGGCGCCCTTTGACCCGATAGGGACAAGCTTCAAGTTCGTGCGAGACGTGTTTCGCTAAGCCGTTTGGGAAGGTAGAGCTCGAGGCACTCTCGCGAAGACTGTAGAGATAGTGTGTACAGCGATTGCAACGATAATGTTGCATGATGCGCGTTCGCTGCCGAAGATACGTGCACATGACCACTAGTTGCGTATATTGAACAATGTGCGATGATGCAAAATTTGACATGACTGGAAAGCATGAAACGTGGATGATGTGCTCATGTCTTCACAGCGTTCCCCGCATTCGTTGGCTTGACTTTTACATGAGGCGGAACCGGAGCGCTGAATTTGGAGCCAAGAGACATTTTATAGTCCAGCCGTTGCTGACTCTAGGCTGACTGTGCTTCTCATGTGGTTTTAGCAAAGGCTTGACGAGGCTCCGTTCTGCATCGACTGGGGATATAGTCGGGCACAAGACATGGTGCCAGTGTGTTGGTGGTGTGGGACGGAACAGCCACCATGCCAAACGACGACTCTCAGTCAGCGAGTATCGCATAGAATCCGGACAAGGCGCCTTCCAGCGGTTTAGTCCCTCCAATGGCGGTGATATATCGGAAAGCCGTGAGAAGTCCAGCAGGCGACATGGCAGCCTGGACCGTGGGCCGACACCAACATACTGAGTGCAGACGGTGGGATGGCTGGTGAGGAAGGCATGTGTAGCGAAGAGGAGTTGCAGCAGTGGCTGAATACGCGGCAACACTGATTAAATTCCAGATGTCCAGCTCAAAGAAAGCCACCGAGGGCTTTGTCTAGGAAAAGGGTGACATCATGGGAAAGTCGTCGTGGAAGGTGCTGCAAAGAACCGGTGGGGTAAAGCTAGAACAGGGCGCTGCAGGAGGCCGTTGCATGCCCCTGTCAAGCATCACGCGAAGGAAGGGCGACCCATGCCAGCCGCCTGACGGCATGGGCAGGCGTGATAGCGCGAGGCACGAAGGTGCATCACTGAGTGAGAGAAGACGCGATTGAGGTGAAAAGAAAGCGCGTTGTGAGGGAGGATGGCTGGCAAGACGCGACGAGAGAGGTGAAGGGTGCCGTGTCGGAGACAAAGACGCAAGCTCCGTCTCCGCGCTAACGCCAAGACGAAATTTATTATCGATACGGCATCATTCCAGCCAGTGCAGAGCAGACGTCCCCGGCGAGAGTTGTATACCGAAGACATTGGAACATGGCGCGCAAGAAGAAGAGCGCGCAGGCTGATGCCGCGCCCAACGGCAGCGCCTCGTCGACGCCGCCGCCCGCTGCCAACGGCGCAGCAACCGCGAAGAAGCCGGCCGGCGAGCCCTCGACGTCTGCCCTCATCATCTGCCGCAACAAGTGAGTTTGGGCGGGTACTGCCGTCGTGATGCACAGAGACAATACCCTAATGGCGGGACTACAGGCATTGGCGCTACATCTCTTCGTTCCACGGCCCCTGGCTGCAGCTGCCCCCCGAGGTCCTCGAGTCGCTCGCCCACAGCAACTACCTCTCCCCGCGCCCCCACCCGATTGACCCCGCCGTCTTCTACGACCTCGTCAAGATCCGCAAGGCGGTAGATGAGGCGACCAACCTGGCTGTGCGCGCCACGTCGGGCCTGACGTCGGCCGCCCTCAGCAACAGCCTCAATGGGAACAACAGCATGCTGGGCAATGCCGCCGCGCTGGGGATAGGCTACGGGGGAGGGGGGACCTCGAAGCTGAGTAGAGAGCGGAAGCATCGCATGCGGGAGCTGGCGACGAGCAAGCTGAGTCAGGCATATCATTTGGACGAGATCGCGGCCAGTGTAGCTACCATGCAGAGCGCGAGCACGCTGGAAGACGTCGCGCACCTGGTGCTGCAGCGCGAGCCCAACAACGTCGACGCCAAGTATGTCCACTTCTTCCACGAGAAGATTCCCAGCCGCATGATGGCGCAGTGTACACCTTTGCATACTTTGAATGAAATCATCAGCGAGCGACCCAACGACGGGAGCCCCCTTCGAACGCGCGCATTGACAAGAATTTTCAAGGAGGACTATGTGAACTCGGCCAAAGACCTGAGTGAGGCCTTGAGCACGGCGCGGTACATGATGGCACAGCATCGCGCGGGCAACGATCAGCTGGTGCTGGCAAAGACGCTCCAGGAACAATACGGGCGGGATTGGCGGCAGGAAGTCAAGATCCCCGACGAAGACCACCCCAACTCGCTCGAGACACAGCTGCTGTTCCATCGCGCGGGCGTATACTTCACTATAGCATGCGGCCACGTCAATGCTGCCCTCGACGGCCTCCAGGCAGCCGAAGAGGCAAAGGCACGGCGCGATGCCCAAATCGCCGAAGGTAAGGAGCCAGATCCGATAACACCAGAAGAAGCGCATAGCAATCATCTTCGCCTCGAAGCCCGCAAGCAAGTCCGCCAGAACGCCAAACGCGCCTTACGAGACTATGTTGCTTTCCTCTCACACTTCGACTACACGCCCGGTATCTCCGCTGAGCTCGCCGAAGAGTTCTTGCGCAGACTGGGCCACTCGGCAAACGGCAGCCCCAACGGGTATTCGAATGATAAGATCAAACCGAATATGAACCGCCTCATCGAGCAGACGAACGGCGCCTCATCACCCATCTCCGAAGCCCTCGTCCCTCACCGCGGCCCAACCAAATCCTCCTCTGACCGCGCATCGTGGCCCAAACTCCCTCCACCGGAGATCTTCAAAGTCTCCCAGCTCTTCGATGCTGCACCTCCCGCCTCGCTGCCCCCGTATCCACCGCCTCGCAACTCGTCCGAGTCCGCAGCCTCAGCAGCAGCCACCGCCTTCGCAGATAGTCACGAGAGTATAACATACCACCCCCTCATTACAGATGCCCTGCACAGTCTCCTCCTCTGCCACGCGCTCATACAAACACCCCCCAAAGAACACCTCCGCCACGCCCACAATGCCGCCCGCCTCGCCCGCGTCTGCGACGGCTACCCTATCTTCCTCGCCGCACGTTCTCCCGCACGCGCAGATTGGATCGAAGTCCTCCGTAGAGCTGGGAACTGGATCGGCCTGTCAACATCCTGGGAGAACCTCTGTCGCCCTGCACCCCTACCTGGCCACGGAGGCGGCAAGAACGGGTCCACAGACGTAGCAGGAAAGAACGGCATGAACGGATCTGGCGGCGGCGAAACAGAAGCCCAACGACGCGAACGTCAGAAGCACGAAGCCATCCTCGAAGCACTAGCCGACGAACGCGTCGTCGACGAAGAGAGTTTCCAACGTGCAGTTCGCGCGCGCGAGCGCCGGAACAGAGAGGACGAGGAGGCCGAGAAAAAGAGGCAGCAATCTCCTCCTAGCGACGCAGATGGGAACCCAATGTCGCCACAACCCACCCCACCTAAGCGCTGGGCGCAAGATGACGGTCGCGAATACCCTATCAGTACTGAACGAGCGGAAGCCATCTCACGCTGGGTCAGGGATGCACCGCCAGTGGGCGAGACCAGCGGTGCGAAAAGCAAGAAGAGAACAAAGGGCAAAGGGAAAAAACCTTCCTTGAGAGCGGGTGGAACGGGCCTGAGCCTTGCCGAGAGCGTCGAGACGATGAGTGTCCAAGACGAGGAGATCGATGATTAGTGGTAGATTTGGATGTTAGAGAGGCCATTGTCTTGATAACGCGGTGGGACGGTGGACTATTCTCATCGGGAGCCACGGCATCGGCCTGATAGAGTTGGAAGTAGATTAGCTTTCTCATTAGCCCTTGTGGATAGCAGATGAATGTCCAAAGTGTTCTGATGGTTTTGATTGTCATTCATTTCTCTGACTGAGACTATTCTACATGGGGGCCCACTGGCAGCCACTTCCTTTCCCGAAACCCTCCTTTTCCATCGTATATGAGCTCATGGCAGACTTGGGTAGCGAGTACACCCTCACTTGCTAAACCAGTCCGCCGTAAACGCCCTCTCTGATCCTCCTATAGACACATGCTCGACGTCCGCCAGGTCCACTCCCTCCAGCTCGTCGACAATACACTGCCAGATCTTCTCCGATTTCTCCACCGATACACTCACTCCATCCCACCCGTACTGCAGGTCCTCTTCCGTAATCACAAAGTTATTCTTCTCGTTGTCTTCAAACACTCCGTACGGCTCCTCGGGTGCCACGTTATGGTTCAGTATGCGGTTGAGCGGCAGTTTATTGGCAGCCAACCAATACGCGCGATGGAACCGCTTGTCAGAAGCCTTCATGTTGGGAAACCACTTCTGTTTGACCGTGAGAAGATCCGCTTCCATGGATAAGCGGAGCCATTTGTGAACAGATGGCGCAACAGTCGTCCAATGGATCTCGTTATGCTCATGAGCAAACATTCCATATACGCCGATGCTGGTAGTCGTTGTGGCCGGTGGGTCATACTGGAACGGGTTCGCAGCGTTGTGTAAAACTAGAAGCGACATTCTGTTTCCATTCTTGATGAAGCCTGCCGTAATATGCGCGTCCCATCTGTCCCTGTCTGAGTGGTAGATTCCTTTCTCAAACTGATCTTGTAAGAAGGACTCGGCAAAATCGAAGCCATGTCCAGGTTCAAGCTCATATAGAACGACCGGCCACCTGTACTCGTCGTAGGTGCTTGTGATATCTTGGGGTATAGTCTCAGGGTGGACAATCTTGGGAGGCGGTGGTGGAGGTGCTGCGGGCGTATGCGGTTGATGTTGAGGCATGTAAACTAAGGGTCGCGCATGAACCGGTTCTTGATACTGTGGGTAGGGAGAAATATACGGTGGTGGGTGATACTGCCGCGGATCGATGTAGTACATGGGGCCCGGTAGATGAGGAGTCGGGTGGTGGTTTACCACTGGGCTGCTTGTGAAGCTCTGTTGCTGCCCATGCTTTGGTTTGGGTGAACCCGGAAGAAGACGTCTAAAGCGAGGAGGAGGTGCAGGTGTAGTTGTCAAGTCGTCAATGATTGAAGCCTTGCGTTTGCGAGGCATCGTTGTAGGCTCCTTGATCAGTTCGTACTGCGGCGCTGAGGCTTGGGCGGAAACTGTCTTTCTCCTCGCTACCTCGCCCTTTCTTTTGTACTCGTCCTGCTTCTTCTTGCTCTGTGCATCTACCATGCTAAGGTTGTGAGTTGGCCAATGCTGGATAGAGGGCGCCTTCTGTCAAGCTGTTAGCACGGATAGTAAGATGTCTCAACACTGCGTTGGCAAAGCATAGCACCTCATACAAGGGAAAACCTGGACAGGTCTGCAGCCTACATCAGCATGAAAACCTGCAAGGTAGGTGCCCTAACGTCGATGTAGGCTCCAGACCTGTTCAGATTTTCCCTAGGTTGGCGTGATAGCAAGGGATACATACTGGTAGAGGGGGTGGAGCGACAGTTCGTTGTGACGGATAACCCTGGATGTTCGATACTGAGGGATGAATGTATGCTGGTGCAAATGTGCTGTAAGGCGATGTATACGGGCCTCGCAATGGTTTCGCAGGATCATGTTGGCGCACATCGTCGAGGTGGTGAAGGGGCGGAGTAGGTGGTCGTTGCCTGTTCGCCCAATGTGGTACAGGCACGTTGTACCGATGTTGCGGCTGGCGGAGAATTTCGGGCTCAGGGGAAAGAGGGGTTGAGATGAAAGTACTTGCCGCAGTTGTTTGTGGAGAGGGAGCGCCAAAGGTAGCCATCGAGCCTTTGCGCGTGGATGCAGCGTCATGCACGTCATCCAAGCTCATAGCCTGAGGCCAGCCGGAAGGCGCGCCATGTTGTGAAGGGTTCATCTGGTGTACTTGCAGCAGGTTGAATCGAGAGGCTCATATTTGGTGTTGGAGGAGGCGAGCGGGGGTTGTTGACTATTTATACTGCCGTTGCTCGTGGTGACGGTCGTATGGGAGGCAGCAGCGACCAGTGATAGAAGGCACGCTACCCCGATAACACAAAGGAGTACACCGACAGTGCAGATTCGCGACGTGTCTCCCGCCTTCACCCGACAACTGCGGATAGAGACGCGCACAAAGTGGCGGATTGACCACGTTGAGGCTACAACGTCGCTGCCTGACTGGTCTGTTGTTGACGTAATGAGATGGATCAGGAGATTGATGGCAAACGAAGGGTTGAAAATTGGGCTGAGAGCATTGAGGTAGGGACAAATCTATCAAGATGGAGTGATATACGAGCACCTTTATATAGAAATGCCGCAGATGGAAGCAAGATTGGTGAATGATCCAGTAATACGTTGAGGTGGGCTAACCACACTAACATTCACGGAACCTGTCTTCATCAACCACTAAAATGATCTTCTTCTCAAGGTGCCAGGTTGTCTTCGAATCAGCTGACCCAAACCAGATTTTAGTCGGGTCAATACATGCCAAGCTCCGTAGGCAGAAGCAGACCCGTGGAACATAGAGCGAACTGGATGAACTCTGCATATGAAAATGTAATCTTACCCAGATCTCGCTGATGAGTCATAAAGTAACCACCATACTCCCGCCTTTTCCTGTGTTTATTCTCCTAAACACAACGCTTCCAACGCCAGAAGAATCGAGACAAAGTGCGTATACTAGCGACAAAAACAGGAGATGTTGCGCCGCATGCAGCTCGTATGGGAGAGAAGAGGAGGGAAAGCTAAACAACACGCTTGACCTGTAGACGGGATTAGTTGAGTACTGCTGGAATGGTGATAGGATGCACGGGTGCTGGTTACCTCGAAGAACCGTTTGAGCCACCACACCTGGAAGAAGCCCTGGCCAATGAGTACCATCAACTGGAAGATGCTCCACCACTTGATGCGCGCGTTCGTGCTCTCAGCAGTATTCCTGTGCACTCGCTCGCGCACGATGATGTAGCTCTGTTCGTCCTTGACCTGGGAGACAAGTTCCGACATTGTTCGCACTGTTTCTGTCAGCACTGTCCTCTCCCAATTATCCAGTGTGGTTCCTCACCCTCCTTCTCCAATGGGTCTTGGGGCGCTTCCGATTCAGGGACGTAGACAATGCCGTGCACGTTGAACGAGACCTCCTTCGTGTTCGCGCCCCAGTGCTCGTTGTTAAAGCAGTACGTGTATTTGCCGTCTTCTTTGGCGTCGAAGGAGTGGTCGCCGGAGGATACGCCGCGTTCGTGGACTTGGTAGCTTCGAGAGGGCGTCTCGATCTGTGGATAAATAGTCAGCTATGTGGTTTGGAGGCAGAATTGGAGTCTCATTGACGCACCCAGAAATCAATCTCCAAGTTTCCGCTGCCGCCAAACTCCCGGTCGCCGACTTGGAACGTGACTGTCATCTTGTCGTCCTTGTGGAGGGACTCGTGGAAGCATTCGCGCTGGTGGGCCTTCATTTGGATATTGTGCGCCGTCGCGAATGACAGCAAGCTGCTCGCCGCAGCGAGCATGGCGAGAGATGGGAACAGCATGGCGGGTGTATGGTGATGCTGCTCTGTCGTGTCGAATTCGGTGTTTCGTCGAGCGCCAAGCTACGTACACGGAGATGCCAGCTTGCCCGCAATGCAAGGGCCCAGAACGTTAGCGTTCAGATTAGTCAGCCACGGCTCCGTCTCAACTTCCTTCGAACGGCGTCCTGCTCTGTCCTACACCCCGCAATATTGTTGTTCGTTCACAGCCTTCCTAGTGAATCCTGGATGCGATGCTGCATTTGTTCTAATACGTTAGGGATCAGTAGATGACATGACAATTTCGCGATTCGCTGTGCAGTCTGCGTGCGCTGACATCCGCTACCCTTCAGGGTCTCGCACGATTACCACAATGCGCTACTACAGAACTTCAAGGTACAGCTGGGGACCATGGAGATAGTTTGTCGTGATTCAGCAGCTCAGATCGCTGGTAGCCTGGATATCTACGTCAACGAGTTGAGGCGGAAGGTAACACCCATGTATCTCTCATGAAATATTCTCTTCGTCGTCCACTTCCTTTCTTCTGTGCGCGTAGGTCTTAGGATAACGTCCTTTCTTTGAATTCTGTTATCGTTCGGTCATGTACCTTTCTCTTCTGCCGTCCAAATTTAGAGGTTCTGAACAGATCTGTTTGCCGCCAAGACCATCGTCAGTCCGCTCCCACACTTGTCCCCGCAACACCAGCACGTCTTTCTTGTGCTCTCAACCTCAGCTTGCTTTATTCACTTCAATTGCCGCTCGTCTCCGCGTGGCGTTTTCGTCGTCGTCGCTTACGGACCGCGTCCTTTCTTGCGCACGGTGTCAACGCCCTCACTTCGAACTCAGCGCCTGCACCTCCAAGCTATCGGGATGACGGATGCAAATGGCGCTCCGCGTAGAGTGTCCATGGCATACATCCTAGGCTTTAGTGACAAGCCGTACAAGGAAGTAAAGCCACCCGCACCTCCGCCGCAAACTGGGAAGCCCGGCCAACCTGCTAACATAGTGACTGCCCCCATTGAATACCATGACGAAGCTTTAGGCTAATTACCACCAGATGTCTACTCCTGGTCGCATCGTAGAGTGGACCGCGAGCGACGGACGAAAAGGCAGGCTCACGGGCACCGGCAAACCACGACTCACTGCAACCAGCCTTGCGAAGGTACCTTCTGAACAGCGGCCGGCAAAGGAGCTAGCAGGCGCGAAAGGCACCCCGAAGAAACCAGCTTCGACCAAGCCCGCCGCCAATGGAGACGACCCTTGGGCTGGTAATGGGTGGGGTGACGTCAATGCAAAGAGCGAATCGAAGAAGTCGAGCTCGAAGAAGGCCTCAAGTAACAAAGGTGATGCATGGGTCGTACAGGAATCGGGCAATGACACAAGCGATCCGCTCGCAGCCACCTGGGGCACTACCCCAGATGCTACAGGTGGCGACGACAACAAAGAGAAGAAAGATGACCCCGCAGATGCTTGGAACACACCGACTGCCCCAGAGAACGACATAGCCCCACAAGATGATAGCAAGAAGGACGACGAGTTCAATGAATGGACAAAAGAGCAAGACGAGAAGCTGATGCAGATGAAGGATGATTCAAAGGTTACCTGGGCTAAGATAGTCGAAGAATTTGGTAAAGCTGAGCATGAATGCAAACGCCGCTTCAAGGATATCAAGCCGAAGGATTGGAAACCAAGTGGGGCCAAACAGGGAGGTGAAAACAAGAAGGGGAAGAAGGGGAAGAAAACAGATCAACATGATGGAAACAACAAGGATGATACGAAGAAAGAAGAGAAGAAGGATGAGGAAACGGGGGATGATGGCGGTTTATTGGGTCTCACGTTTGGAGAAGATACTGGTAACAGCAAAGACGAGTCTGGTGACAAGAACAATTCTGGGGACAAAGCACCCGATGTATGGGGCGATACTGCAGAATGGGACTTCACTGGGGGAAATGCTGCAGGTTATGGTACGAATGCTTGGGAAACCCAAGTTGGATGGGGCACTGGCGCCACTACGGGTGGTGGAGACGGCGCGAATGATGCTGCCGCGAGCTGGGATAACACCGGTGGAAACAACTGGGGTACAGGGACGAACAACAACCACAAAAACAACACCGGCGGCGGTGCCGGAGGTGCGAAAGCTTCAAGGCAGAAAGCCCCTTCAAACCAAATGCCTCCGCGGGCGCCCGCTCAGCCCAATACCAGCAACGGCAACAACAACAACAACAACGCCCGTCCTATCGCCGCTCGTCCTCTCGAACTCGAAGTAAAACCCGACGATACTTTCTCCGCCGATGACTTGCGTCTAGTCGCTCGCATCTTACAACAAGATTGCTCAATGGTATGGAATAGGGTCAGCTGGCGATTCAGGGACAAGACAGGTAGAACCCTTCATCCTGATGAGTTCGAGAAGAAGATCACTGGGCGTCTAGAGGGCAAAGGTAGCGAGACGGGTGAGCGGAGGCGGTAGGACATTGACAAGGTGATGACAGAAGGTTACACGTGAGATGTATCATGAAGTACACCCAGGGTTGGGAGAGGAGTCAAATGAGCTCATATGTAATACTATAACTATAGCCAGCTGGGTTTCTAGTTCGCATCTTCTGGCTGTATAGTGACCGATGCACTAGTGCGCCCGATGTGGTAGTTAGATACACTCTGAACGAGTCAACACAGTCATGAAACGTGGGTCAACGAACTCGTCATGGCATGTTATAAGCTAGATGACTGAGCCGTGCATGTTCAA